GAAAGTTCTTGTGCCCCTAGCTGTAGTGCAGCAAGGGGGGGGGGAATCTATCAAAATGCACTGGATGATGTGCTATATCATTTATTAAAAATAACCCCATAGAAATTTGCCAGACTTTTATATGGCAGTTGTCAGTCACTGGCAGCTGAAGACATTTTTATTTAGGCAGTCATTTGATGGATGGATTTTACTTATGTGGTGAGTTTTTGGTGTGCTGTTTTAATGCTTGAATGGATTTTACTTTTAAAATAGTTTTAACTATGTTGTTTTTTAACTTATGGTTTAATGTTAGTATTATTTTTTAAACTTTTGTAATTAATGCTTTAGCTTTAGCTTTTCAAATTATTGTAAATTGCCTTTAATCCTACTTTGGGGAATATAAATCCCATAAATAAATAAGTAAATTGAGTTGCTCTTTCACTTTCTTCTATATAAAAGTCAACATTTGTCAAAATATAGAAGATAAGAGGGGGAAAACTCTAATTGGGTGAATCATGTTCCATTTGAATTTGTTGCACTTCATGATTCGGTAGAACAAAAGAGCTGAACATAAAAGACTAGAGTACCTATCTATGATGATACAACTATCTACAAAAACAATGTACATATGCATGCGAGATTTCTTATTTTTATCTGGAGAAAACTCCTTGAATTATGTTTTATACATCAACATGCTCATAAAAATGCACTCTAGACCTTCTAAGGCAATTGGTGTACATGAAAAGATACATTTTGTCCAATTTTGATATTTTCAGTAAAATCATTATTTATTTTGACTACAATGCATTACACTTGAAATGTAGGTCCCAAAGAATTATAGCTCAATTCATATTTCATAACTGTAGTTTATTCTCCACTCTCCATGAGAAATTGAGTTTTATACAGATGAAAGTGAACAAGTATAGTGGTTGCCATTAAAGCAAAGAAAAGTTTCCTAGGTTACAAAGTTTGGGGCAAAATCTGAAGCATGATAAAATACATATTTCTGATCATTTTCATTCAAGAAATGTTTTTCTTCCAAAAATAATGGGAGATTGGCTCTTATTTTGTCCCATATTGACTGCAGCAATAGTGTAGTCCCATATATTTGGCAAGCAAAAAGGGGGACTCCATCCATTAGTTTTAGTCTCACCCACCCTTCAAGGATCTCATCCCAAGGAACATGGTCCTGCAGCTCCTTATAGTCACACAAATATTTATATGAGATCAATTAGACCAAGCTCTAGCAACAGGCCAAAGATCATCCCCAAAACCCCACTGAGTGGGTGAGTAGTGATTTGGTTGCAGGACCTGGCAGTCTAAGCTCACCCAACTGTATCACATCTCCATGAATAATTTCCAACCTGGCACAAATCAAAACCACATGAATTGTGTGGTGGTTATTGTTGTTGTGATAAATGGGGTCCTCCATTTATCAGAGGACTTCTCCCAGACAACAAAGGGCTAAATATTGGGAGGAGATGCATTCTAATGAGGGTTTACATCACAGGTGATGTGATGGCAACTGGCCAATGAGAGGGGGCAGTTGGGCAGAACCGGGAATTTTCGAGATGCTTCTAAGGGAAGGTTTTTAAAAGCCTCCTTGCAACATGAGACTTGAGTCCTACTTTGTCTGCTTTTGGGGGCTGTTTGCCCTGAGATTGCTCATAAGGGGCTGGTAGAGTTGGACAATGGAGTCCTGGCTCCTAGCTGTGCAGAACATAAAAGATTACAAATCCCATCTGAACTGTAAGTATGATTAGGGATATGTACTAGTTAATGGTGTTAGAAATTTTGGTTATTTTACTGGCTTGGCTGAAATGACTGTATCCTGTAACTCAACATTTCTCTTGTGCCTATAGGACAAGGGGTCCTACATGTAATGATATCCTTTGCTCTAGAATTCCTTAGTTAGAATAAAGCTTTTCTTTAAAGTACCTTGCCTCTCTCACACTCCTTTTCATGTTCCTTTGGCTTGCTCCTTCTTGCTTAAGTTAGCAAGGGAAAGCATCTGCAGATCTCCCAGCAAAGTCCTGATGTGTTGCTAAGGGAGGATCAGGTAATTCATCAGATGATGGCAGCTATTGGGAAAAGGTGGTCTCAAGGGGTCCCATCCAGCTCAGCAGGAGTGAAAGGGGATCCAAAGGACCTTCAATGGTAGCTCCTGTGCACAAAGAGCCATAACAAGGATGCAGTGTTTGGCTCTGAACCCACAGAACATTATAACAGTTGTTTTTAAATGTAGCTCTCCTCAAATTTCTATTACAATGAAAAGAAAGCAATTGTTGCATCCCCTTCCAAATGAATTAGCCATGGGCATCCTTCCATCTATTCTTTGTCCAGTAGATCTGCAGGACATGGAGGAAGCCTCTGTTACTCTATACTCTTCACTGAATTATATCATACAGGGCCCTATGGCAACTGGTGGCTTCCATGTTAGAGCAGTGGTAAAACCACACTGGTTTTTACTCCAACTTTTCAAGAAGCTGTCTAAGGAGATTATTGCATTGACTTTTCAGCCTGATCTGTGCACGGGACAGGATCAGGCTGGGACAGGGCAAAACGGGTTTTATCGCACTCAAAATTGCTGCTGCGCTGCCAACCCGACCATCACTCATCCCTGAGCCGCACTCTGCTGGCTGATTTTGGTAGGAATCAGCCAGCAGAGCACAGCTCAGGGATATGTGATGGCCGGCTGGCAGCGCAACAGCAATTTTGTGTGTGATAAAACCCATTTTTCCCATTCCAACCCAATCCCATCCCATGCACGGATCAGGCTGAAAAGTCAATGCAATAATCTCCCAAGGCACTTACAATTATTTGGGTGATAGGGTTGAGCAGTTTGAGTTGTTCCTTTAAAATTCAGATCACAACTCAGAAGAGATTTCACTTCCCCATTGACATAGAAGCGACCTTCCCCAGGGTACTGGAGTAGTACTAAAAAGTGGCAGGGAGGAGTCCAATCCCCAATAATCTATAGTGATGTAGACATGACGGCATCAAGGCTTTGCTGAGGCAGGGCTGATCTACCAAGACATTTCACTGCTGCATGTAAGTGATCAAAGGACGTCTGAAGACCACTGATGGTTGCTGAATAAGATCACTAAGAGTTGAAAAATGAAGACCTGGAAAAATATAGGGGGAGGGTATACTCTCATAAATGGAGGTGGGAGCAGGGTTCTGAATTCTCCATGTTTTTCCCCCATAGTTTTTTGAATCTTCTGTAGGATGCTGTATGTGTTGTTAAAAAGAGCAGCTGGGATTTCTGGATGCTGGCAATGCCATCCAAGGTCGCATTCCTCTGTCAGAGGCAAAGACTTGTACAGTCCAGTGGTGTGTTGGTTTTTCATTTGCGCACATGTGTGTGTGCTCACACCAAACCACCTTGCCAGCTCCTTCTGAGTCTTGCCTATCAGATATCATGGCTCATTGTTCTGTCTGTCTCAACAGTTATTCCCACTTGTGAGCTGCCCTCTTCTACTTTCTTCTCCCTCCCCTGTTGCAGTTTTTAATTCTCCTTGCTGGTGACTAGTAATGCCATCACAACTACCTTTCTTGTGGTTGTTGTATGCCTTCAAGTCATTTCTGACTTATGGTGACCCTAAGACAAACTTATCACAGGGTTTTCTGGGGCTGAAAGTGTGTTTCTAGGCCAGTAGGTTTCCATGAATAAGTGGGGAATCAAACCCTGATCTCCAGAGTTGCAGTCCAATGCTCAAACTAGTATACCATTTATTTACCTGGTAAAGACTCTACAGAAGTTACCATCCCTAATTAGTAAGAGAGTAATTAAACACATTTTAGTAGTCCCATCTTGTTATTTTGAAAATAAAACTTTATTCCCTAGGCCCATGGAACCAGTACAATTACTTCCCACAGTAAATATCTTGATTTTGTTGTCTTGTAGCGGTGATGCCCATCCCTACTGAGTTCTATGAGGGTTTATTTGGGGAGCAGTTGTGAAAGATTTCACTATAAAGACAAATTTTGTGCCCATAAGGTTTATGAGGGTAACTACTTAGCCAGCGTGCCATAGTGGTTTGTGTGTTGGACTATGACTCTGGAGACCTGGGTTCCATTTCTAGCTTGGCCATGAAACCCACTGGATGACCTTGCACAAGTCACACTATCTCAGCCTCAGGGAACACAATGGCAAGCTTCCACTGTCCTTCCCCAAACAGGGCATGTTTCTCAATCTATGGCTCTCCAGTTGTTTCAGGTTTCAGCTCCCATAATACCTTGACCATTGGCTGAACTACCTGGAGCTTCTGGGAGATAAAGTCCAAAAGAGCTGGAGGAACAAAGTTTGGGACGGTACTGGTGATACTGAATTCCATACACTGGAGGATCAAAATTTTAAAGAAGAGAGAAACCTGTCTTGTTTTCCCACAGAGGGCTTTATTGTCCAAACACTCTCAAAAGGATGCAGCTGAAACCTGTAGCAGCCAGACAGTCCATCTTTCTATCAAATGCTAGATTGTTTCTTTGTCTGCTTTATAAGCTTAGCAACTCATTTCCACTTCAGAGACTGCATTTCTAGCCCTGCATAAATGACAGAGAGGCAGATTTCCTCTTGCATTTCAATTGCTTCTTCCTGCATCCTCTGGCTTTGCAGGACAGCACAGTCAATCATTCCTGATTTGCTCAGCTGGGAATGGCCCAAGTCAGCTGAAATGTTTCACTGAACCTGACCAGTCATTCCTGTAATAACATTTTTAATAGAATCTATAATTTCTTTTTTAAAAGAATCTATATTTTCAATGTGCACATAAAAATGCAGTATTTCTCATTTTATAAGCTCCCTTACCCATGGTTTATAGCTTGCCTATTAAAACTTCACTGATCCAGATCTCTTGTATATGAGACTTCTTATAAGTTAGAGATGCTGTATGTCCGCCCTTAACAATTATTTATGTATGCCTGATCTTCCCTCTTCTAATTCAGAACCAAATCATGTGCACTAGAAATGAGGTTCTCCTAAATAGAAGCCCACAGTTTATTACATGAGTATTACATTTATAGCCATTGTGGTGTAGTGGTTTGAACATTGGACTATGACTCTGGAAACCTGGGTTCAAATCCTGGCTCAGCCATGTAAACCCACTGGGTGACCTTAGGCAAGTCACACTCTCCCAGCCTCAGAGGATGGCAATGGCAAACCCCTCTGAAGAAATTTGCCAAGAAACCCCATGAAAGGTTTGCCTCAGGGTTGCCATAAGTCGGAAATAACTTGAATGCACACAACAACAACAAATTACAATTATAGAGAGGGCATGGTGTAGTGGTTTGACTCTGGAAACCAGGGCTTGATTCCCAGTTTGGGCATGGAAATCCACTGGGTAACCTCAGAGGAAGGCAATGGCAAACCTTCTCTCTGAACAGATCTTGCCAAGAAAGCCCCTTTAGGGTCACCATAAGTCGGAAATGACTTGAAGGCACACAACAACAACATTACATTTATAACACTTTCTATCCCAGGGTCACAGCACTCATCAGTTTTAAAAGAATTTTTATTTTGTATGTGTGTGTGTCTTCAAGTCACCTGTCACCATATGGTAACTGCATGAATTTCATAGGGTTTTCTTAGGCAAGGAATACTTAGAGGTAAACAACCCAGTACTATTCCTTCTGGTGAACAAAGGTTTACCTGTCAACCTTGATAGGCAGAGCTTCATTACAGTCACATCTGAGAACCCATGAAGAGTCTTTCTAGAGTAGAACACAGACCAGCTTTCTGTTCAGAGAGAAGTCAGCCTGATGTCTCTGGAAAGTCCACAAGTATGACCGGAGTGCAGCAGTTGGGCTCCCTAGCATTTGATATACAAAGGCACACATGCCTCTAATACTGGAAGAAATAAATAGCCATGACAACCAGTAGGTACTGATAGCCACATCCTTCACTTGTTCTTCAGTCCCCAAGCAAATTAATAATGTCATTCACCTGTCCTTCATTCCACATATTAATGGCAGGTGGTAATTCCCATGTTGAGATGATGAATCCACCCTGGGTTTTAATCTGAATTCTAAATAAACTATTCAAGCTGCTTGTTTTTTGCTGCTCCAGAGACCAGAATATGAATCAAGGGATTCAAATTACAAGAAAATAGATTCCACCTAAAATTAGAAAGAACATTTTGAAAGTAATAGCTGTTTGACAGTGAAATCAACCCTTTGGAGTTTATTGCACATAGTTTTCAGCCCGATCCATGCAAAGGATGGGATGGGGCTGGAATGGGGGGGGATGGGTTTTACTGCGCATGAAATTGCTGCTGCACTGCCTGCTGACCATCACCTGTCCCTGATCTGGCCTCTGCCGGCTGATTTTGGTACTATGTAGATCGAGCCGGAAACTGTGTGCAATAAACTCCCTTGAGGATGGTGGACTCTCCTTCTTTGGAGATCTTTTAACATGGTTTGGATGGCCATCTCTTGGGAGTGCTTAAGTTGTATATTCCTGCATAGCAAGGGGTTGGAGTGGATGGCCTTAGGGGTCCCTTCCAACTCTTATGATTCACTGAGCCCTATCCTTGAAATAGGTTCATCACCTTGGATATATCTTTGAATGATCAGATGAAAGTCAAAAATAGATTTAGTGCAAACCAGCTGCCACAGCTGCATGAAGATTTAAATTATTTAAGTCCAGCCATTGCTGTGTTCTTTCTAAATGGCTGCTCCCTGACTAAACTCCAAACATGCACACTTGCAGTCCAGAGATAAGACCATCACAAGCCCTCTGCAGAATGATGTTTATGTGCTGAATCACTTCTGCATGAGAACTGAGACTGCATCAACTCACCCTTTCCTTTGGTATCCCTTGGGCCAGCCCGTTCTATCCCCTGATGTCCATGTATTCAGCATTAATGCTTTGTAAGAAAGAAAGAAAGAAAGAAAGAAAGAAAGAAAGAACCCTTTGCTGGTCCAGTCTGAGGCATGCTCTTTTAACACTGCAGATATTTGTGCCAGTGTTTGCATTTTGGGGACTTTACAGACTGGGTATGTGGGGGGGGGTGAGACCTGGAACAGTCCCTCTCCCCATTTGTACATTCCTCCAATGGGTAAGTAGCTTCTGAAGAGGGGTACAGGTAACAGATGATGGGGGGGTCCTGGGTATAGAAAAATATGCTAAGTGTGTTACAGTCTGCCAAGTGCCAAAAGAATTTACCGGTAATCACACTTCCACACCCAATTAGAAATCTGAAGGAGTAGGATTTTACAGGCACTCAGCTTGCCAAGTCATGAGGAGAATTTTACTGTTTTCCCCACGATTTCTGAGTTGCATGTTAAAAGTTTCCAAAGCAATCAGAGGGCAATATAGATGCTCCATTTTGCCAAGTTCACACTGCAGTAAATTGCTCCTTGGTGGGTAGAGATTACCAATCTATAACACATCTGCAACTTCTAGGTAGTGAAATGTTCCTTACCACTCATCCAGAGATTCTTTCACACTTCACAGTTATAGCACTATGATTTCTCCGGAATTGCCATGGCTGCATCATATATAATTCTAGTGTTTGCAGTCTGAGGAGGTACCTATGATCTCTGGCTAAGAATTACAAAGGCCCTTCCCTGTATCGCAAAGCCCAGGATTCCACAGTACATTGCTATTGTGGTTAAAGTGGAATCATAGTGCCATAACAGTAAAGTGTGAAAAGGTCCTTATGACATAGACAACCAAAATACCTAGTGAAGTTTGGCCTTTCCAGTGGCAGTCAGTGGCTTTCATATCAGTGAATCCACTCTGGGTTTGATTCCAAATTTTAATTCCAGATTTTAAAGGAGTTCTTCAAATCCTAACCCCATGATAGCTTCAGAATTTTGGATAACTCCTTTCAAGTAAAATCCAGAATGGATTCACTACTACACCCCAATGTGGAAGCCACTTCTGTATTAGCTCTTGATAATAAATAGCCATTATGTTCACCCAGGCCGGCATCATTTTAGTGACATACCCAAGTGTAATTCCAACTTATATCTATGTATGGGAGTTTTTATTTAATTTTTCGGCCAATGCAGAGCTTACTTGCACCCTCCCCCGACTCATGATTTTGCTACACCGTTATGTAGCTGGTGGAGAGAACAGGGAACTGGAAAAGTGTCTGTGCCCCAAAGAAAAGAAGAGAAGAAAAACAAAAGGGAGATAGGAACGAACTACAAATTATGCATGCAAGAGTACAATGGCTTGTATGGAAAGATAATGAAAATGACTACAATGACCAATGCAGAGAAACAGAAGACAACAACAAAAAGGGAAGAACAAGAGATCTATTTCACAAGATCCAAAAAATCAAAGGAAAATTCAAACCAAGGACTGGGATGCTCTATGACAATAAAAATACAATTCAAGATCAGGAAGGAATAAAAAGATATTGGATGCAATACACAGAAGAATTATACAAAAGACATGACAAAATAAAGGATACATATATAGACTATAGCAAAGCCTTTGACTGCATAGATCATGAAAGGCTATGGAACGCCCTTAAAGACATTGGAGTGCCAACACATCTGATAGTCCTGATGAGGAATCTGTACTTAAGACAAAAGGCTGCTGTCAGAACACAACATGGAGAAACAGAATGGTTCCCAATTGGCAAAGAGGTCAGACAAGGCTGCATCCTATCACTCTACCTATTCAACTTATATGCAGAACATATTGTAAGGAAAGCAGGCTTGGACATGGAAGAAGGAGGAGTGAAAATAGGAGGAAGGAATATCAACAATCTGGGATATGCGGATGACACCATAATATTAGCAGAAAGCCTAACAGACCTGGAACATCTACTAAGGAAGATCAAAGAAGAAAGTACAATGACGGGCTTAATTTTAAACATAAAAATAAACAAAAATAATGACCACTGAGGACCTTCGCAAGTTCAACTTAGACAATGAAGAAATAGAAATAGTAAAAGCATTGCTATACCTGGGATCAAACATTGATAGAAATGGGGACTGCAGTCAGGAAATCAGAAGAAGATTAAGAATGGGGAGGGTGGCTATGAAAGAACTAGAAAAGATCCTAAAATGTAAAGATATACAACTCAGCACAAAAGTTAGAATCATACAAGCCATTGTATTCCCTATTACCATGTATGGATGTGAGAGCTGGACAGTTAAGAAAGATAGGAAGAAAATCAACTCCTTTGAGATGTAGTGCTGGAGAAGAGTATTGAGTTTTGGATAGCCAAAAAGACAAACAAATGGGTCCTAGAGCAGATCAAGCTGGAAACCTCCCTGGAAACCAAGATGACTGGCTGCTGTCGTACTTTGGACACATCATGAGAAGAGAAGACTCATTAGAAAAGACAAAAATGCTGGGGAAGGTGGAGGGAAGTAGGAAGAGAGGAAGGCCACATGCCTCATGGATGGACTCTATTAAGGAGGTCATGGGTATGGGTTTGCAGTACTTAAGAAAAGGAGAACAGAGGGTCACTCTTGGAGATGTCTCATCCATAGGGTCACCATGGGTCGAGATCGACTTGAGGGCAATTAACAATAAATGCCCCATAACCAGATTCAAACTGATAATACCATTTATCAAGACCCCAGTGAGTCTCAGTGGAAGATGTCATTAGTCTGGGTCTGATGATTGGGTATCTATGTTATACCCCATGCTAGTTTAGTCAGATGCTTCTCTGATCCTCCTACTTTTTTCCACTGGCCACAAAATGGCCTTTTAAGAGAGAGATCCCAGTGTAACTGTGAATACTGAGTAAGGTAGCACAGTTCCAACTGTGGGATTCTTACTTTACACTGTGCAATATAGGATCTCGACCCCAGCACATGACTAAGGGACAGAGCAAAACAGTATACATGCAGAGGGTATCCTTCAATGCAAAGCACTCTCAAAGTTCCCTTTCTACAGCAGAGAGCTTTATGCCTCCTCAAAGCACAGCAAGAATGAAGCAGGCTGCAGCAAAAAAAAAGAAAAAGAAAAAAATGGACATTGCTTTTTCTGCCAACTGCTAAAAGCTTTTCTCCAGCAACAGCAGACTGCCAAGCACAATTCTTCTGGGATTGGGGCTAAGTCATGCTGGGGTCAACTGCTCTGACATATTACTGGAACTGTGACAAGGTGCGGAAACTCGGTACTC